CCTTTTGTTGTGGCTGGACTGGCTTCTTGTGGCTTTTGTTATGATTACAAGATATTCCTCAAAAACAACTACTGGGGGAACTTTGAAAAACAAGGTTTATTACTGACAAGTCCTGGAGGGTAAAAGGCAAGCCTGGGGCCCCCTGGGGCCACACAGTGAGGTCCCTGGTAGAGAGACAGAGAGTGACCTAGAGAGCGTGGGAGATCCTCGGGTTCTGTCTTTATTGGAGTTGAGGGTGGGATGCCTAGGGTTGCAGATTCTCATTCTTTATTGGTGAACTTAAAACATAAGAATGGGAATTAAAGCAAGGGAAAGGAAAAACAGGATTTATTGTTGAAAACTGAGAATGTACAGCTCTAAATTATTTCACTCTTTTTCTATATATGGTAGCATTTTATTGCCTTTGTTGTGGATTCAAAAATACTTCAAGATTTTTAAAATTTATTTTTAGAGAGGGAAGGGAGGGAGGAAGAGAGGGAGAGAAACATCCATGTGTGGTTGCTTCTCAAGTGCCTCCCACTGGGGACCTGGCCTGCAATCCAGGCATGTGCCCCGACTGGGAATTGAACTGGCGACCCTTTGATTCACAGGCTGGTACTCAATCCACTGAGCCACACCAGCCAGGGCTCAAAAATACTTTTGATGCATAGTAAAACTTGTTATGGTTACTCTCATGAAAATAATAATAGAGTCACTTAAATTGAGATACTGCTTTTTAAAAACAGTACAATAAAAAAGGAAACAAGGAATAATTAAAATTGACTCTAATTATTGTTTTACTCAGCGCATAATTTGGTATTTGTGTAGGGTACACCTGGTGATTTGGGATCTGTTTCTAGTATGTTTAAAAGTATTTTTGGCATGCTTCTTTTAGACACCTTACTGCATCACGTAAGCGAGACTAGCAGGTCATGAATTAGACCCAGAGTCCAACCATGTTGAGTAGTTTGCAACACGACTTTAGAAACTCTAGTGTACATTAATATCTGCTCTTTATGTGCCTTTATGGGATATTTGGATATTTAAAATAAGGATGTAATGTGAGTCAAGAACCTTTAAGGGGCACTGCCACATAGTTAGAAGCAACTTTTGAGGTATTCAAAGCTCTCCTTATGGATAAAGAAGAGCAGTCATTTAGGACACGTTCATCTTTTGGAGACTCCATTCTTAGCGTAAACCTGCTGCCAATGAGCCACCTAGAATGTTTGCATCATGGCTGGTGAAAGACAGCCAGTGGGAATCTCAGGAGTATTTCAATAATCATCTACTAGATCATAACTGAAGGCAGTGTTGGGAGTTTGCCTGAAAACATGTATCATGTTTTGCAGGGCTAGGTTATGCATAACACACTGTAGTTTTACACCTTTCTTGGTATTGTGTGTGTAGATAGAATAGGCAGTGAGGGGGAGTAGGATTTTAAGGGGCCGCACATCATTCTGACATAAGCATCTGGTCCTTATTTTTTGACCTAGCTCCATGGGAGGCTGTTTGTAATGGTACCTTTATTCCCTGAAGATCATTATTTTCATAGTAGATATCTTCAACCAAGTCACAGGACTGTAGCACAGTATCTATTCTAAAGTAGAATGTTTATTTACATTTAACCAAAACATAGGGTACTAGCATATTATAATAAACTATACAGAATAATACTTATAATTATGATTTGTTAATCATTCACTCGTAGCAAAATGGAGTGTTTAAAATTTGTATGGAAACTGCAAAAGCCCAGAAATGGAATTCCAAGATGATATTTAGCATGTCTTCTCAGATTATTAAAATCATAGTGCTTTTAACACTAGGTTGCAGAAAGAAAAGTTATCTATGGATGATGTGGTTTCTCTTTTCCTTTTCTTCACCACCCCCCATCTCTTTGAAGCCAGTGATGGCTGGTTGGAGAGCCCCTACCCTGCTTAGAGACTTTTCATTTTAGAGGAAGTTCCAGTGTCTCGCTCTTTGTCCCTCCCTGAGCGCTTGTGAGCCCCCACCAGATTGCTGGTCCTCGCAGAGCTCCTGAAAGTTACATGCACGGCCATGCTGCCGGCTGCCCCAGTTCTTTCCTGGAAACCGTATTGGAAATGGAAACTGTGTTAACAACCATAGGATTTTCCCATAAGAACACTGAATTAAAAATCAAATATATTGATATATATTAATCAACATTAGTGATTTAACATTTTGAAAAGAGCCCCTAAAGAGAGATTTGAAGATTTAAAAAATGCTTTACATCGATTACAGAATTATTTCCAGGTTGCTGGGCAGACTAAAAATGAGATGTTTCTTGTAAAAAGAATTGATGCATATTTAAAATATTGTGAAATGTGCATATATTTCTAGACTTGATGACTATCTATCGATCTCCCTTGTGTTTAAAGAAGAATTCTCTGCCCTTACCTTTGCTGTGATACAAATCAATGAAATCCATTCACATGTGAAACGTACTTCCATGGATTTATGCACATTTAGATCAAACCTAAAATCTTTTCAAGGCCACTAAATTGGTTAATGGTGCATATTTTCCAGAATTATTACTGTTCATAAATAACACTGTCTTGACAGGCCGCAGACAGCACATATTGTGGGTTATTGCAATGCCCAGAAGAACAGCTGTAACTTTATTCCTTTTCTCTCCACTCAAGAAAAAATACTGACAAACAAATAAGTGAAAATCACAGTGTCATCAGGAATGTTTTCCGTCTCTTTGACGTATGAAAAATAAATAAAACTCTGTAACTTTGTTGCTGATTAACGAAATGACATTCCATATCCTCACTTGTGATAGAGAGATTCTTGTCTGACCGCATCATCTAAGACCTCGATTAGACATAGATTAAATTCCATTGATTGACCTAAGTAACAGAAATGTGCCAGCTGTAGTAAAACATCCAATGGGTAAATAAAGTTACATGTGAATTATCTTGCTAGCAGTTATTGAATTGGGAAACATTGTGAATAGATGTGGATATACTGCTTTGGAAATGTTGCTCAAGGATATATATTTTTTGAATGTAATAAGTTCTAAAGCAAATACAGTCATCCAGCACCATTCCATTATTTGTAAGTCTTTATTTAAATACCATGTAGATAGACTGGGCACTTGTGTTTGATGGGGATGGTGGGGGGCAGTGGGATTGATAACGAAAAGCACTTTGAAGGGACCGACCCAGATATTTGCTTCTGCTCCTATTTCTCACTTGATTCAGTCGTGTAAATAGAAATCTAGATTAACCCAAAGTAGTGTTAGTTTACAGCTAACCTCTTTAACTTTTCATAGCCGCTGCCAGTTTTTCCAACATGCAATTTTATAATTTTCTAGCTGTCTTGTGGAGAAAGGTTTGCACACACAAGCATATTAAGGCTGAGGAGACAAGCTTCCAACACCATGCCCTGCAGCCCTGCCCCTTCTTGCTCGGCTCAACTCTGAATTCAAACCATGTTCGGCAGCTCTGATTTCAGAATGTAAGGTTGGCCTGTAAATGGTACGGCCAGGGGGAGAGCCTTAGTTAAGATGAGAAAGATATAAATAATATCATAATATTTCTCATGGTGTTTGACATGTACTTCATACACTTTTGGAAAGTGATAATTACCAGGCCATTTATCACATAGATTTAACACAAAGCTTCAAAGTTTCATCCCTGAAGTGATTTGGGATGACAAGCGTAAGAGTCTCTTAATCTTCACTATGGATGGTGAAAGAATTAGAGATGTGTAATTAGAGTATTAATTATTCATCAGCTAATGACCAGAGAGATGAATGATGAGACTTTCCACACCTTATTTAATGAATCATATGTGGTCATCATGCCATTCAATATCAAAATTATGGTTTATAAAAATATAACTTGCATTTTGTTGGTTATTCTGTGCCAAAGACATAAACATTCTTACTTGACTTTTTTTTTCCTAATTTATTTTTTCTTACTGGTTTTATCTTCTCTAGCATGTAGTAGCTTCATTTCTAGAATGCAATAGTATGGAGAATGATGAAATAGGACTAAGGCAGTAATGCTTCTTGGATGAGGAGAAAGATATATGGCACGTGGTATGTGTGTATGTATGTATACATGGCTGATTTCAAGACTAAAATTATCTTGATACAATATTGTAACGCAGAACAGAAGCAAATAAGGAAATATGACCGTGATATAGCTATTACATGTAGTAGTTCTATGAAAAATTGGTTGTATAAAAACAGAATTGTCACATAAGTTACACAGGCCCAGTGTAACCTAAGTGTTTTGTGGCTGGTAAAAATAACAAGGCACTTTCACAATGCTTTCATAAAAGAATGCACATTGTACAAGGTAATAGTATTCTCCACTGGTTACTTACTCTTACAGTATTGTTTTCTGTTATTAGACACAGTTAAAGGAGGACAAACACAAAACAAAAGCTCATCTAAAAAAGTTAGATGGTTTTTGAGACCTTGCAGTTGAAAGAGTCCTTAACTGATCTAAATGTTGGGAATCCACAGAAGAGAAACCTTAGAGAAGATACACTGTGTTTAAATATTTGAAGGAATGTAATTAGGTTGTAGATTTTGTTCCCTGTTGATCTGAAACAGAACATCTCAAGTTACAGCTCTCCAGATAGAAAATGGGTTGTCCCTGAGTCATGGAGTAGTGTCTCCCTGCTAGTGTCATCTGAGGCTAGATACCATTTGTCGGGGATGCTATAGAAGAAGGTGCACAAATTAACTCTTAGGCTCCTTCAACTCTAAGATTTCTTGAATCTGGCTTGAATAATTACAAGCTGTGTTCTAGAGCACGCTTGACAGTGAGATTTATCATCTCTGTTAAGAAGCTTTAGAAGTAAATATTCTTAGACCATTAAAATATATACAGTAGGTGGTTAAGAAAGACAAAGTAGGTGGAAAGAAAAAATGACTAATTTATGTCTTGACTTTTAAAGGCATCCAGAATACCTAAAAAATATTTTATTGTATTTACTGTATCTGAAAATTTTAATTTATTGAAGTACAATATTTCCTTTTTAAGGTTTTCACTTCCAGTTACTGCAACAGCGGAAAATTGTATTCTAACTATTTACTCATATATGGCAGCTCATGTTGATACGGAAAACCTTGTTTTAAGTGATGGTAAGTTGCATAGGACTATTTTCGCTCTAACTTCCACTGTATATGTTCGTGTTATCCAAGGCTGCCATCTAAGTAAAGTGACCTTAAAAATTAACAGATGTTTATTGAACTCCTGCCATTGCTAGGAGCCATGTTTCGTATTGGGAGTAGAATATGGCAGTCTCTCTTAATTCCAAAAGTCGACAGTCTAGTGACGGGCACATGAATAAGTTAATACAAACAGGATGGAATTAAGAGCTCTGTGTATGAGGGAATTGGAGTATTGGGAATATGGGAGTGGTGCAGAGAGGGTAATGCAGATGTTGGGGGTCCAGGATGACTATATAGAGGGGAGGGCATGTGTGTAGAGCTAAAGCTAAATAATTGTTAAAATATTTTACATACCTAATGAAAACTGAAAGCTTCCATTTTGGTGAGCGTTTTCACATACTATTATGGCAAGAAGAAAATTTCATGGTTTCTTATTGTAATTCATCTATTTTTAAAGCATTTCTTTTGGGTATTGGAGAGTAAATCTATTTTTTTTATTTTAAGATAAGAGTAAATTGGATCAGAACGTTTTTGAGAGCATAGAATAATTTGTAGAATGAGCTCTATTGGTCTCCCTACAAACTGCGATAACTGACAGTATTTTACTCTATGGTCAAGTAACTGTTTTTACAAAAAAAAATGAATTTTAGGAATAGAAACACCAGCTGAAATATTGAACTCAGATGAAAATGGAACATCAAAGGAAGAAGGTGCTAAATCAATGGAAGCAAAGGAAGAAAAGAAGCATTTTTGTCCTGAACCAGGAACAGATATGTACTACCACTTTCAGAAGGTTGTAAGTGCAGCTCAGACCTGGTTCAGCCTCTTCGGCTGGCCTGAAGGACCACATTCATTGTCTATCCCAGTGACTATAAGAAGGTAACAGTTGCATGTTTCTTCAAATCCCTTGTTATGTATCATATGATAAAAATATCATCTATCTATTCGGGTTGCTTTACGTGAAAAGCAATATTAAATAATTTATTCTAAACCGACAAATCATGACACTATTAAGGAAAAAGATGCAAATATAAATTATTTTTTAAAGAGATTTTATTTAATTTTTAGAGAGGGGGAAGGGAGGGAGGAAGAGAGGGAGAGAAACATCCATGTGTGGTTGCTTCTTCCATGCCCCCTGCTGGGGACCTGGCCCATAACCCAGGCATGTGCCCTGACTGGGAATTGAACTGGCGACCCTTTGGTTTGCAGGCTGGTGTGCAATCCTCTGAGCCATACCAGCCAGGGCTAAATTCTGTACCATACACATATTTTTCTGTTCCTTTTGAATATCCAGTGATTTTAGGCAGCACTGAAAATCTCTGAACTTCAGTGTCCTCATTTGTTAAACAAAGGGAAAACTATGGCTAGGAAAAGCCCTTTTAAACTTGAAAATATCAGCCCTAGATTTAGACTATAGTCAGGTAGATAGTGGTATTAGTGAACAGGAAGTGTCAGTTTCTTTGGCATTATCTCCTCTTTGCCAGTACATTTACCTCAGTCTTTCATGTGTTGTTTTATTACTCCACATGCTTAAAATAGTTAAACTGCATTGGTTACATCAAGTCACTTAATCCTGTTGTTCATTTAAACAGGAAGTCAGGCACCTCCCTTGTTATTACGTGCTGGTATAGGGATTGTCAGAGCTCTTGTATCTGCTTTCTCAGCACTGGTATAACTTGCTGGCACCATAGGGACAAGTACTAATCCCTAGCAAGAACTATCTTAGAGTTTTTGCATCTATATTTAGGAGTGAGCTAGGTTACGTTAAGTCTATAGTGTTTCTATAAGTTAACTTTTTCCATTTTTTAAATTAATATTACAATATCAGCTTCCTAGAAGAAATTCGCCAATATTTCATCTTTGTCTATGGTGAGAGAAACTGAATGTAGCATGTACCCTGAAAATTTACCAGCTTAATCATAATAAAATCATCTGACTCCAGGGAATTCTTTTTAAAAGATTTTATTTATTTATTTTTAGAGAGAGGGGAAGGGAGGGATAAAGGACAGAAACACTGATGTGAGAGAGAAGCATCGATTGCCTGCCTCTTGTAAGAAGCCCAACCTGGGACCCAAAACCCAGGCATGTGCGCCTCAACCTGGAATCGAACCTGCAATCTTTTGCTTTGCACGATGACACCCAACCAACTGACTCTCACAAGTCAGGGCACTCCAGGGATTTTCGAGAGAAGTTATACTATTACAACTTTTCAGTTTTTTCCTTTGGTGTTTGTTCTACTGAAAAGTTTCCTAATTTGAGTAAATTTTAATGACTTCATTTTTTTTGTAAACTCAAGGAGGTGTATTTTACTTAAATATCACCTCTATGACAAATGGATGTCAAAAACATGAGTACTTTCATCTTGTGATAAGTATGATTATGAACAATAGTTTGCATTCTTTATGTTACCAATGTTGGTTACTTTTTTATTTTAATTAATTACTTTATTAAATTTATTGGGGTAACTGTTCATAAAAAGGTTTCAGATGTACAATTCTATTAATACATCCCCTGTATATTGTATTGTGCGCCCTCAACCCAGTCAAGTCCTCCGTCACCGTATATTTGACCCCCTGTACCCTTCACTACCCTCATCCCCCTTCCCTCTGGTAACCGCCATACTCACGTCTTTGTCTATAAGGTTTTGTTAGTTTTTCTTTTTTTGTTCACTTGTGGCTTTCAGTTTTATATCCTACATAGGAGTGAAATCATATGGTTCTTGACTTCTTTTGTCTGATTTATTTTGCTTAGCATGATATTCTCAAGAGCCATCCACGTTGTTACAAATGGCAGCATTTCTTCTTTTCTTATGGCTGACTGGTATTCCATAGTATATATGTACCACATCTTCTTAGTGCAGTCATCTATCAAAGGACACTTTGGTTGTTTCCATGTCTTGGCCACTGCGAATAATGCTTCATTGAACATAGGGGTGCATATAGCTATGTGAATAAATGTTTTCAAATTTTGGGGGTAGATACCCAGAAGAGGGGTTATGGGTCATATGGTAAGTGGCAGAGCCATGGTCTGAGCAGTGGTAGGCAAACCCTTCCCTAAATCAGCATTCTTTCTCTTGTAGTATGTGATACAGACCTATGAGCTAGCAAACTGGCAAACTGCTCTTCCAACTGGCCCCTTGGGCACTTTTTATTTGTCAGGCTAAACTAGTAACAGATTTGAGACTGCTGTCAAACAAATAGTGTAGTATTAGATATTTGATAAAGTATAGATAGCAAAACTGGCTGGAAGTTTTTACTTCATTTAAAAATTAGCATATATAACTACATGGTGCAGAAAGTGTCAAGAAATAGAGATTGCATTGTTCTATTTAAAGAACAGAGAAATACCTGGGAACAATAGATCTCTGGACTTTATCTTTAAAATGAGGATTCCTACTCATGAGGCCAATGTGCACGATGTGCCCTTCTAAGTATTAAAATACAAATATTGAGAAAATATGTGTAAATTTGTCTGTGTATGCACCTTTGTCTGTGAAATATACCTTGGAAACTATTATAGGCATTGTTATCTTTATAGTATAAAAAATTAAGTTCAGTGAATTACACAGCTAGTAGGTGATGGGTCCAAGGTTTAATCCCGGTACTGTTTATCCAAAGCACTTACATTTTCTAATTACAATGTAATCTTTCAGACACTTGACAGTTGCACCATTAGACAATTGTGTGTGTTTAAAACAAGATGCCAGAAAGCTCTGGGGTTATATAAAAAGCTAATTTTTACTAACATAGTAGCTGGATAAATGAGTTTTGTAATTTCTTTTTTGATTGGTAACTTGGAATAGAATTTTATTTAGTCATTGAACATTTTTTCTGTAATATAACGTTTTGAGATTTAAAGAGATTTTAAAAATAATTTTCCCATAGGGATGTGAGTAAAATGGAAAGCCGCGCATCAGGCCCATCACGCGAAGACACCACTAAAGCGAGTAACTCTTTAAAATATAATAAAACCATTTATGATGTGATACAACACTTGAGTGGAAAAATGCCTGATGGAATTCATCCTAGTCAGTCTTTACCTACAGATTGCAATGAAAGAGTGATTCAGCTTTATAAGCAACATGCCTCAGTTCTTGACTTTCTCAGGTAAGCGCATGAATGTGCTAATTTGAAAATGTAATTTTGGCTTCAGTAGATAGATAACTAAGTATAGATGGGTGGGTAGATAGCTAGATAGATTTTGATGATTTTTTTAAAGAAAATTTTTACTAAATTTCCACGCTATGCATAACCATGTAATATATAACTTGGAAAAATGATAGCAAATAAGCATTTTATAACTTACCAAATTTATAATCTAAGGCAGTCACTCTCAAACTTTATCATCCGTCCCAACCATTAGGATGACATGGTAAATACATTGCTGGCCCTTACCCACAGAGTTTATAATGCTAATCTGCATTTATACCAAATTTCAAGTGATACCGATACTTCTGGTCCATGGCCTCGTTCTGCGAATCCTCATGTAACTCAAGTATATAAATCCACTGAACTAGAGAGCATCATGCTAAATGAAATAAGCCACGGGGCGAAAGATAAATACCATATGATCTCACCTATAAGCGGAACCTAACCAACAAAACAAAGATGCAAGGAAAATAAGACCAGCAGCACTGAAAGAAAAAGAAACCAACAGAGACAAGAGGGAAGGAGGGAGGGAGCGGGGGACGGGGAGCGGGGAAAAGGAAGGGAAGGGGAAAGTCAAGGAACATATAGCAAAGACTCATGGACAAAACCAAAGGGGAAGAGTTGACGGAGGGAGGGAGGGGGCAAGGGAAAGTGGTGGGGGGAAGGCAGAGACAAATGTATTTGAAAAAATAAATAGATTAATTAAAAATAATATAATAAAATAATTAATTTTTATAATGAAAATAAATAAATAAATAAATAAATAAATAAGTGAAACCAATAATTTATTCTTTAGATTCCTGTTAGTACAATCTGAAGTTATGGACACTGTGAGCTAATAGCATAAAGTCTTTTAATATTAAAATAATGGGCAGGTGAAATTTTCCATAAATGGTTGATGGAAAATACTTGTCATCATAATGCCTGTGTTCTCCTGCAAAGATTAAATGGCAAGTGGCCAAGAAGTGGAAAAGCAGTGCTCATTGAAATCGTAAGGGGGGGTTGACAATATCTAGCACTCCTACCTACATTTCCCACATTCACAGGCGGTGTTATTACTCCATTTCACATGCTCCTGTGTCACTAAAATAGTATTTGTTACTGGTAATTGTTTATGCATTAGGGTTACTATATGTTGAAATATATTACTGTGTTTTTATATTTGGCATACTTGTGTATGGAATCTACCCCAAAGGTGGCCAGAGATCTTCATCTACCTTAACAGGACTGGGGATGGAGGGGAAGAAGAGGATACTTTTAGCAAGAATGCAAATGAAAGATTTGGTGTTCAGTTTTTAAAATGTCTACATCAGACTTTTTCAGTCTGTAGCAATACTATGGTCTTCAAAATTAGAAATGGTACTGAGGAACATACAGTAGCTTTTCTTCATTTCTTAGGCTCTCACTATCATGGTAATAGCCAAAACTAGCTTGAGTTTCCTGTTGCTTGGAAAAGATCTAGAAGTTTCTAAGTCATTGAAGGAGATTGAGTGACCACGACACTCACGACAGACCACGACAGCCTGGTTGGCAAATAAAGAGGCAGAAGGGTGGCTGGTTTGAAGCCACAATGTGAATGATGAATGTAGGAGAACTGGAGAGTGGCTGAGTCACTTATGAGGGTCCTCTAGGCCCTTCATGGAGTTAAGTGGTGACACACAGGATCCCCAACTCAGGCCTCAGCAGCAGATACCCACGTGATGACTAGGCTTTTCGGCAGAGAGGGGACATTGTCAAAGAGACTGAGCATCCAGAAACATAGTCAGAGACCTTCACATACAGATACAAGAGTCCCTCTCACCCACCTCATGGAAGCCCAAGTGCAGGGGCGATCCATGCCCTGAGATGATGCCATATACGATGTGGAGATTCCTCCTTTATAAAATAATACCAAATTAAAATACAAAAAAAGTAGATATATGGGTTTAGAAGTGGCTCACGCAAGTGAGGAAACCTGAAGTTAAAGCTTTATTTACTTAACAATAAACCTACCTCTCCCCAGGTGCCGTCAGGCAGTGGGTAGAGAAGTCTGAAATTTGGATTGTCTATCCCAAAGAACAGAATTACCATAAAGAGGCTGTTCTGGTCAGAAGAGCCTAAGATATGAGAACAGTCAAGTCTGCACTTTCGCTCTACTCCTCCATACCCAGTGTGGGTGGGAGAATGAGAAAGATTCTGTCATTTAAGGAAACAGCGCACCACAGACTCACACATGAGTCTGTGCACCTCACCTGTTTTTGAGCATATGAGCATGTGAGGGCAGGAACCACATCTCATTCTTCTGGCATCTCTTAACACTCAGGGTCACTAATAGCACAGAATAGGCCCAATGGTCATTAAATATTTATTATCATTTTCTTTCACAGAGCTTTGCTTTTGGAGCTCCTGTCCTAAAAGGAATAAAACTTTAAAATTGAGTCTCAGAACAGTCTATCTAATAGGAACAAGGAAAATTTCATGATTTATGAAATTAAGGGGTAAAGGAAGAAAAAGTAAAGCATTTGTATTCTAGGAGGGAAGCTGTAACCAGTGAGAGAGTCACGTTAGAGAAAATTAGGGTGGGTACTCTGAATGTTATACATTGCACTATAGTTATAGTATTATACTATGAACTCTTAAGAATGACTTTAATTATTAAGGTACCTATATTAGTTTGCCAGGGCTATCATAACAAAATAGTACAGACTGGATGCCCTAAACAATACACATTTATTTTTTTTCACAGTTCTGGAGACTGGACATCAAGATCAAGGTGCAGGTAGATTGGATTTCTTCTGAGGCCTCTCTGCTTGGCTTGCAGACAGCTGCCTTCTCTCCTGTCCTCACATAACATTTTCTCTATATGTACACAATCCTGCTGTCTCTCTGTGTGTCCAAATTTCATCTTCTAATAAGCACTAGTCAGATTGGATTAGGGATCACTCTAACAGCCCCATTTTACCTTAATCACTGCCTTAAAGCCTTAACTCCGAATAGTCACAGTCTGAAGTACTGAGGAGTTAGGGTTTCAACCTGTGACTAGGGGAGTCACAATTCATCTCATAACAGTGTCACATGTGTTATAAAAAATATATACTTCGTTGTTATAGCTTACAATAAATTTCGTATTGCTATATGTGAAATAATGTTCCTTGTGATTTGTGCCTGTTATGGACTGAATTGTGTTCCCTCAAAGTTCACATGTTGAAGTCCTAACCCTCCGTGTGACTGTTTTTGGAGATAGGACCATTAACAATGTAATTATGTTAGTGATGTCATAGAAGTTGATCCCTAAGTCCATTGATACTGGTGCCTTTGTAAAATGAGGAAGAAACACCAGAGATCTTTCTTCCCTCCTCTGTGGGAGCACAGAGAAAAGGTCATGTGAGGACACAGCAAGGAGGCTGCTGTTTGCAAACTGGAGGGGAGGCCTCACCAGCAACCGAATTTTCAGGTGTCTTGATCTTGAACATTTTGCCTCCAGAACCATGAGAAAATAAATTTCTCTTGTTTAACCTACCCAGTCTGTGGTTCTTTATTATGGCAGCCTGAGCAGATTAATATGGTGTCTAGTATCCTCTGATATAATTTCATTTGTTTATAACCAACAGTTATTTTTATGATGTGATTAAGTTTTGTTGGAAAAAAACCCTTTTTTGGTTTATAATTTCCATAATATAAAACTAAAACAGAAGCAGACTATAAACACTGTGTACTCTACACAGAAACTATAAAGTAGGATAATATAAAGCTACTATAAGTCTTATTTCTAATTCCATTGATTTTTTTTTAAAATTGTTCATTTACTAAAATAAATGCACTTAGGAAAAAACAACTTACTTCCCTTTACAAGTAAATTCAATTCCATGTGTGATCTTACTTCTTTTATCTTTACAACTGTACCTTCTTACTTATGCATGCCCATTATGATGTCTTATTAAATGGAATTGCACCTAAGAATGAAAATATTTCAAAGCAAGTCAGTGATTCTGAAGCAAGCTGAAGTGGGGTAAAAGAGCATGACTTTTAAATCAGGTGGATGTAGGCTTAAACTCTGTCTCTTTTATACTCCTGTGCCTTTGTACAAGTTGCTTAACCTGTTTAAGCCCCAGTTTCAGTATCTGTAAAACTGAGAGTTATGATTCTCAAACTTGGTTAATTAAAGAATACAAATAATAAAATATGGATGCATAGTAGATGACAATGATGATGATGAAGTGTAATAAATGATGATTAATGGCTTTCATGTGCCAAAATATTTTCTTAAATTATTCCAATACAATAACCATTAGTGACATAATGAAAACAGATTCTTTTGGTATCACTATCGTTGAAATGGCCTATTGGAAAAAATCTGTTCTTCTATTAGGCTTACATGTCTGTTGACATAAAAATACCAGAAAACCAGTATTTATCAGCATTGCCTTTATATGTATAAGATCAATGGCACCTTTATTTAAATTTTCATAAGTTTAAAACCAAAGGCATGTGAGTTTTGTTTTAATTTTACCACTTCATGCTCTTGGTCCTTGATGGACTTAAGAAAGAAAATGCTTTAATTCAATAAAGCAAAAATTCTAATGCCATTCTTATTTAGAAGTCGTGCTTTTAAAACCTACTGGAATATTAACTGTGAACAAAAGGGGGAAGTTTGCATACTTAACTAGATCTTTATTGTTTGTGCAATATAAAAATCAAATAGTTTTCTAATAGCATCATTAAACTCTATGATACTTGTGATGGTCATGCTACACTTGTAGCATTATTGTTGGCACAGCTCCAGTAGTGTTGACATTAACACGGGAGGTTTCTGTTTTGACATTTTGCGGTATGAGGATGCAGGTATGGAAGAATGATTATGGCATTAAAACCCAGCCATTCAAAGTTATTGCTGTTTTATCAGTAAATGTAAGCCTATCCGGATGTGTTGACTCTGATAGAATTCCTCAACATCCAGAATATGGCAGTGTGGCTCATAAAACTGGGTCATTAATCCAAAATGCATGCATATGTTTCATCATGGAAATAAAGGAATTAAATTCAAAATGATAATAAATTTTATTAGTTGCCCCATTTTAGATTGGTAACAGTGGGTGAGGACTTCTGTACAAGTGAAATTATATTTATCTTGTGCAGTTAATGAGAAACTCTATAATTTTTGGAGGTTAAGTTTAAAATTTAATAACACATTACATCTAATTTTATTTTGTTCTACTAATGGTAAACTTGGAAGAACTATGCCAATAGAAAGCCTAGAATGTAAAAGTGTAATCAAATCAATTTTGAAAGTCAACACTATAAAACTAATGACCAGACATAAACTACTGGCAAAACATAATTTAAATGCTGTCTGAGGGACTGATGAAGTTAGGCCTTAAGATGGATGCAAAATAAAAAGAAACAAGTCTCTTATATAGGAGGAAAAATAAATTTTCCTTTTACCTTCAAGGTTCTTGGCTGTAATAAAAGACAGATTAACAGGAGGGAAAAGAACAATTTAATTAGATGGCTAAGTATGGTAGCCCCACAAAGATATGAGACTCAAAGACAGCCAAGAGATTGAGGCTTATACACCACCTGAGCTATTGAAAGGGGTAGGAGTCCAGGGCCCCAAAAGGCGGAGGGGGGAGGAGTCTGAGAGAGGAGGCGGAAATGTTTGTTAAACATGGGTTGCCCTGCCAAGCAGGAAAGTCTCTCAGGTGAAAAGTTTTCTCTAGTAATACTTCTCTTCCAGGTGTGGGCTTGTTTTCTAATGTAAATTTTCTTTATAAATGTAGATTTTCATTACAAAAGGGTAACTTCTACCCTGTTTTCAGAGCCCCTGTGTCTGTAGTTTCTCAAAATAATCAAAATGCCAAAGAGGCGGATTTTGGGGTGACCTGTTCCGCTCCACTTGACTTCATACCAGCATCTGTAAAATGCTGTTAAAGAATAAAATTCAACTAAGTTTTAAAGATCTGACTGGCTTAATTCAACAATTTATAAATCAGACAGCATCCGATCTAGCAGATGGGAAGGAGCTCCAAAGAGTTATACAAGGAAAGAGATTTTATAAGCAGAAGGGAGCATGATCAGGGAAGTTGTACTTAAGCAGTGAAGGGAGGTTTGGAATGCGCCACCCCAAAATGTGCCTCTTTGGCGTGTGGTTTGAGCTGACGGCAGTTGAGACCCAGTGGATTTGGGGAAAGCTTTCTTCTACCTTAACCAACCACCTCCAAGAATTTAGACAGGGGGCCTGGCCCAGCAAGAGTTACTACCGGAGATAACTTTTTATATCAGAAAGACTTAACTGCATGGCCAGCCGAACATCTGTGCTTCTCATCTTCTGTGAATTATCTTCCTCCTCTTTGAAGTCCTCGATCCTTACTCCCCATTTCCTCAGTTACCTGACTACCTGGGAGTTCCACCTTTTTGTGGGGCTCTGGTAGGTATATATTTAATTTGTTTTTCTCCTGTAAATCTGTCTTCTGTCAATTTGATTTTAGACCAGCCAAAGAACCTAGAAGGAAGGAAGGAAGGGAAATGCTTTCCACCCCTACAGCACAAAAAGTAGATTGGTTGTGGCATTTCCTTTAGGGGATGGCAGGGCTCTACTATTGATACAGAGAGATCTGATCAGATCACTGGGAAGGAGTAAGGAGAGGCCTAGGAGGAGGTTGCGCGAGGCGATGGTAAACAGTCTAGGATAGGATTGCTGAGAACCCGAATGCCTCCATAGGGCATGGAATTATGGGCTAGAAGATTTGAAATAAAAGAAGGGCTCTCCTCTTTCTTGAGGATACCTGGATGATCCTGCTGCAGCTGCCTGCGTTTCCCAACAGATGGCATTTTGAATAGGAAGGAACTCCGGGCACAGCCTAGGATCAGGCTGGCCTGGCAGAGGTTGACAGGGTTGTTATTCTTCTTTGGATGTTCCAGAAGGGATGAGCTCTGAATCAGAAACCTGCCATTCTTCCATTGTATGACTTTTGTATCTCATTTTGTTTTAGTTTGTAAACTAACCCTATAGAAATATGATAATTAAAAACTAACAGGGGGAAATGCTAGGAGAACTCAGGTGTTAAAAGAGTATAGCCTTAATTAATAGGTTTAAATGATTAAAGCTGTAACTAAAGAGTTAGAGTTTAGCCCTAATTGATAGGCGTCAGTGACTAATGCTTGTGGAAAGCTGTTATTCCAGAATTGTGTAGCTTTTGAATAAAGACTTCTTTCCTTTATCACCAAACCTTTGTGTCTGGAATTTTACCTAGAGGGTGATGACAGGCAGAAGGACCCCAACTTGCTGTCCAGTGACACTCTCAGGCAGATGACCTAATTAGTGTTAATCAGGCAATTCTGATTGAATGGTGTAAGATTCTGTTTCTGGAAGAGCCGAAACTGTAATTAAGTCTTGGTGTGGTGATGCAGGGCTTAGCATGAGTGACTCCATTTTGGACCTGTTGTCTTTACCAATGCAAAACTGCATTCTTACATTCTCAGCTTTTTACTGAGGACTTACTCTCTGCTGGACACTATGGAATACTCAGATGAATACGATGTGGTCTTCCCTCCTCAAGGTGCTCTCAGTTTAATGGTTTTCTGACAGTTTTCCTTGGGCTCTCAGTAGCATTTTATAAAAGTGGTCATTTCCTCTTAAGATCCTGTCTTGGCTTTGGATTCAAGGAAGTATTCCAGTTTCTTCATATATCTTTATTTAACTTGCAGGGGTGTCCAACCTGTGGCCCATGAGCCACATGTGAATGGACCCAGGATGGCTGTGAATGCGGCCCAACACAAAATCATAAATATACTTAAAACATTATGAGATATTTTTGTGATTACGTGTTGCGATGTATTTAATGTATGGCCCAAGACAACTCTTCTTCTTCCAGTGTGGTGCAGAGATGCCAAAAGATTGGACACCCCTGCTAGGATTCCAACTTAATGCGGCAACATCTCATTGAATTCTTACGCAGGCTTTAGGTTTGCTCCTCCTGATAAGAAGTAGTGTTCCATTCAAATTAGACTTTACTTAAACGTATAATAATTTCAATGTAGTGAAGATTCATAAAAATAGGTAGATACAAACAGGAAAAGTATAAAAATCAAAGACAAGGGATGATGTTTGACTTCCAAAGAAAGGAACTTTATATGTGTGCAGTACGATTTCTTCCATTAGCTTCCACTGACCCAGGGCCATGCCACACTTCACAACTCTAGAACTATCTCCATTGCTTCCATCTCCCCTAGGCTTCCCTTCCTTACTTCTCTCTTATGTTCATCTGTGCTGTCTTCAAGGTTTGAGCTTTGAGAATCATATTAACTCTTCTTTTTCCTCTTCTTTATCTCACTTCTCAGTAGTTCTAGGACTGCAGACTGCTGAGGGTGTTCCAGAGTTGAGTACTAGATGGTAAATGCGTTCTTTTCTGGTAAATGCTTATGGTGGGTAGAGTTCTATGCTTATTAAATGAATTATGCCTAAATGCCCAAATGCCTTCTAGGAAACACTCCTGCCAAAACTGTGTTAGATGTCTATAGGTTCTGTGGTGATGGATGTGCATATGAAGAATTTGGATTAAAATATTTCAAGGAATTTTGCAGTGAAAAAAGTGTAAAGAGCTAAATAAGATAAATGTGTTTAAATGTATAAAATAATACAAATAGGTATTAGTTTTTGAATGTATAAAATATTAAAAATAGATATTTTCTGCTTCAACTGTGCTACTATAAGTTTGCATACTCAAAGAGGCCACACATTTTAGATGGTCTCTTTGGAAAAATAAGTGATGAGTTATGTTATATTGGGGATTATTTATATTCAGGCATATGTGGTGATAGGTATTCCATGAATATTGGGTGACTAATGATCTATTTATTAAATGTTTTACTGTGTTCAGGCTTTTTCCGCATATTTTTCAATTTTATAATGTTATAACAAAAAATAGTTAGTGCTTTGACAATAGGGGCTAAATCATAACACTCTATCCCATTAACATATAAGGATAGATGTGGATGATTAGACGATTAGACACTTAAAAAGATATTTCTTATTGATCAGTTCTCTAAAGGAAACATCATATACACATTTTATTGTTAAGGGAAAAATCTTAAATTAATTATATACTTTTTAAATATTAAAATTATAATTTAAACAAACCATATGACATTGAAATTATTTATTGAAGTTGAAATGCAAGTGATATACAAATCATGAATATTATACCATAATAATTTGGATTTTTTTTTAAATTTTAGTGCTCATGGAGCATGTCTTTCTCACGTACTGCCGGAATTTCTGTTTGAACCAGAAGATTATAAGAAGTGGATTCAAATTAGAGTAAGGAAATATAAATTCTTGGAACAGCTGCGCAGATATTGAGTTTGCTGATTTTTTGGTCTGTGCTTAAGTATTTCATTTTAGAATCCTTGATTTTTTTATTTATGTAATATCCTAAAGATTATGTTTCTCTGGAATGAATATATGTGTGTATGTGTGTGTGTGTGTGTGTGTATCCCACAGATACGTATATATTTTTGTATTTGTTTAGAAATCTCTGTGAAGATTAGGCGGAAATGATCACATGATTTTCTTTTTTTTAAAAAAAATTTTATTTATTTTCAGAGAAAGGGGAAGGGGGGAGAAGGAGAGGGAGAGAAACATCAATGTGTGGTTGCCTCTTGCGTGCCCCCTACTGGGGACCTGACCTTGCAACCCAGGCATGGACCTGACTGGGAATCGAACCAGTGACCCTTTTGTTCCCAGGCCACCCTCAATCCACTGAGCAACACCACCCAGGGGGGTTTTCTTACATATGTAAGTAATTGCTTCTTTTAGGGAATTTAGAAATGAAGAGTGGTGTGTACTTATGTAAACTTTTTCTTAAAATGAATTTTAGAATACATATCTTCCAAAGAAAATGCTGGGTTTTTTTAAAAAAAGATTTTACTTATTTATTTTTAGAGAGGGGAAGGGAGAGAGAAAAAGAGGAATAGAATCATCAACGTGTGGTTGTATCTTGCGCACCCAGTGCTAGGGATCTCGCCTGCAACCTAAGCATGTGCCCTGCACTGGGAATCAAACCGGCAACCCTTTGGTTTGTAGGCCAGCACTCAGTCCACTGAACCATACCAGCTAAGGCATAGAAAATACTGGTTTAATTTGCCCACCACTTCACATTTCCAACCTTCGGTTTTAGAGGAGAATAGGGAGAAATTAAGCCAGATAGCCATAGCTTTTTTTTTTTTTCAAATTATGCAAAGCTAATCAGAAGGGGTATTGTTTTGAGCTGCCTGGAGGCTTTGAGGCAACTCTACCTGTGGTATTGTTACTGGGGTACCACACAATATTAGTGGCAGAGCCAGGAGCCTGTTCTTTGGCATTCTCCTGAGTCTGTCTGGCTTAATTCGCAGTGTGGCTCTTAAGAGGCTCAGAGTTCAAAATAGCTTTGCTTCTCATTCTACCTTTTCTGCCCCACAGCTAATGGGTGCAGTGAATGAATAAATCTATGACCTCAATAAAAGGCTATGAGTTCCAGAAGTTACCTATGTTGATAGTTTCTGTGACTGGCACATGGGGAATTAGAGATCTTGATAAATGTATAAAAAGGACAGGTAAAGGTTTTATTTAAAGGAAAAAAATATGCTAACTAAGTAGTTAAAATTTTGAACTTACATTTGCATTGCATTCTAATCAATGTTGTGATATTTTATTTATTGAAGTCTTTCACGGATGTCTGGGGGACACATTCCTGTAAACCAATGAAAAAGCATTATTTTACTATAGATATGTCTGACTTTGAAGCCTGGAGTAAACGGGCATGGACAGACGTATTCCTTCAGATATACAAGGTATCGTTTCTCCTCTTGTTCATTGCGGGGGGTTTTGGTTAATTTACAGAGATAAAATATTAGTCAAAGTATAGGTAATACTACTGTATAAGATTGAAAACTATAGTGGCTCAAATGAGATAGAATGTTTATTTATTTATTTTTTCCCATGGAACTGTGGAGAAGTGAATGGTTTAGAGGTAGTGGGATGTCTCTTCCATCCTCAGCACTGGGCTTTTATCTCTGGGTCAGTTTCTCAGAATAAGGAAGAACAGATGAAAGAGTAAGAAGACAAGTAAATTCCTTTTAAGGATGTTGCCTGGAAAATGCATTATTTCCCTTTCACATTCCATTGGGCAGAACTTAGTCATATGACCACACCTAGCTTTAAGGGAAGTTGAGAAATGTAGTCTGTAAAATTGGTAGCTACATGAGTTTTTCCAGTATTAAAAGGAAGAATTAAAGAATAGATATTGGTGAAAAGTATGGTCTCTACCAGTAATGCATAGTAGTCTCTTGTAAAGTTATTCGGTACAGATGTTCACTAGGAATCATAACCGTAGCAAGACCAGCTGTTGATGAGATTCTCCAATTGACCTCATGCCAAGGTGTATGTGTGGGTGAGTAAACGTATAAATTGTGCCTTCAAAACCTATATTTTTATTGCTTAAACAAGTACTGGTTTCAGTCCTGGAATCATTTCCTTGGGTTCCAAATGTGGCACGATAGGTCTTGCTCACTAAGACCAATGGAGGCTTCTGCTCTGCCCTCACTGACAGATAGCGGGAGCTGCAGGACAGGGACTTAAAATGAAGTTAACTAGAAGCAGCATTTCGTCACTCGAAGGAAGGGACAAAATTAAAAGCTAAACAGTATTATGTCACAAAATGTTTTTTTAAATATGATCTTGTTTAATCTTCACCATCAGTATTCCCCAGTGTATAGATGAGGAAACTAGGGTTCTCATGCCTACTTTCTTCCAAGGTCACCTGATTTTGGTCATATAAAACCATCTGATACAGGAAACGTTTATTTCTTCTTGGTTGGTCTCTGTGGGAGCCCAGGTGCCCAGGCCCTCTTGCTGCCCTCTGGCCACCTAAAGTCTTCACAGTGGCCAGCGAGCCAGGCCTCCGTCCTGAAGAGTTCCTTTTCCTACATTATTCCCCTTATTCCTCCTCTTCTCTTCTTTCCACCTCACCCTGCCCTGTTTCTCTTGCTTGGGTGTCAAGAGAAGAAATCCTGTTTTTTCTTGATTAGTTCCCAGAAGAATGTATGAGGGTGTTTGGGACTCTCAGCCAAACTTAGAATTGGGAAAAGATATTTTCTTCTTTTCTTAACTCCGGTCTGCATCATCTATAATTTTCCCCAGTGATAAATAGGAGCAATTCCAAAACAGAAGAGCAGCACATGGCTTAGTGTAGGGCAAACTAGTCCTAATCTTGGTTTGTGGATGTTATTCACACACCTATTCGTTTATGCATGTTTGTTCATTTAATCTGTTTTCCCTAACCTATAAGTCTATGAGTTTAGAAACTAAGTATGACTTGTAACTTAACAGAGTATCAGCTCAAAAATATTTGTTGAATGAATTTATTCGACAGTTAATATGTTTCAGGTACTATAGTAGGCTCTGGGGGTATAAGAGTAAACTTGATGTAGTCTGTCTCCTAGAGAATTTTGTGTCCTGGAGTATATAAGAACTAAGTATATATAATTAAAAGGAAGTATGACAAGTGCTATGACAAGGGAAGCCCAAAGAATGAAAGATCAGTGCCCATAGAGAAGAACCTAACTTTCCTGTGGTTAGGGGATAGTTTTTGGGAAGAAGATCAATTTAAACTGAGCCCTGAGAAATGACAGGTGTTTTCCAGACAAGGCAGGGCATAGTTTAGAGAGAGAGAGTGAATGATTTTTGTGAAGGAGGTCGTAGATGAGTTTTATTGCAGCAAAGTTGTTGGGGTTGAGGAGGGGAGTAACATTTTTCCAGACAAAGGGAATTCAATGTGGAAACACTCAAGGTTAGATGGAGCATGATACATTTTGAGGAATAAATGGTATGGCCAGAGGTAAGCACAGTGGACTGCGATCCCAGTCAGAAATTGGTTGACTTCATGAGCCAAACCAAGGAATCTGAACTTTTTGGACTGTAGCACAAGGTCAGTACAGAGCTGTTGAAGGGCTGAAGACATAAGGTTGGCGTAATCAGCTTTGTGTTTTCGAGAAATCACTTTGGTACAGTGTGGAAACTGTTCAGGGACGTATTTCAATATCTGGTGCTAGGAATGTTGGTGGCAGTGGGAAAGATGAGAAAGGGGCAAATTTTATAAATACTAGAAGTAGAACTCAACTAGGACTTGGTGAATGGCTACATCTTGGGAGTGAAGAAGACAGAGGTCAAGGATAACAGTGGATTTCTTGTTGGGTGATTGAGTAGAATTTCAGTCACTGAAATAGAAGACAAGGGATAATAACAGTATTTTGTTGGGGGTGGAGGGTGGATCAGGGTAGTAAGAGGACATGATAAATTAACTTTGGTCCTGCTGTATTATAGTGCCTGGTATGATTACTAGGTGGGTATATCCTCTAGTCAGAAAGGCATTTGGGTGGCAGCACACATTTGGGATTCTTTGCTGATGCCATTATAAAGTCATCGGAATGGATAAGATTGCCCAGTTAGATAGCTGCAGAGCTGTTCTTCGTATATTGTGTCTAAAGCATGGGTAGCATAGATGTTCTATTAAATCAGAAGTGTATTGGCAATTTCACTTGAAAAAGCAAGTGATGTTTTTGAGATGAGTTCACAAGTTAGAAATAAAAGACTGATTTTCACACAAATCTATGTTCTTATTGTTGAATTCTTAGATGTCATGCATATGCTTTGAGACTGCCTCTGTCAGTTCTTCTTGCTAATAGTTTAGATAACAAGGTATAGTTTGTCTGAATTTAATGTTATGTCATTTGGTTATTTTTGCTTGTTAGATTTGCATGATTAAATTGTTGCTCTTTTCTTACATTATATTCCCAATTCACAAAAATGTTGACAAAAATGGCCAACAAGGGGGTCATTGAGGCATAAGACAGGTGAAAAACGGTAACAAACACTCAAGCTCAGAATGTTATTGTAAATGTAAATTATATATAGGGATCTCACATGGATATAAAGGATGAATCTGTATGAACTGAAAGAAGTGAATGTGATGTTTTTACAGAAGAATCTGGAAGAGAAAAAGGTGATCAGGAAGAAATATTTGATGAATAATTTTAATTAATTTTATTCATTTGTTCCCAGTGTACTGCTTATTGTAAAGATTTTTTTTTTTTTTTAGAATAGAGACACAATTCTGTCAAATACTTTGATATTTTTAAAGAAAGAACAATGATCTTTCTGGTTAATTAAACATACTTTCCCTGAACCAGTTCAATTCTCTCTATAATAAGATTGGGGTATTTGATGCTAAAGGTAGGCAAGACCCCAGTTCTACCTAGGCATTATTCAGGATTGCATGCCTTAAATTAAAATGGTACAAGCGATCATATTTCTGAGGAATATTTAAAAGTGCTTTAATAAAATATGATTGGAGAGGAGTAGAATTGGTGAAATTCTTTTATTAAATGGCTTTGCAGTATGTCTCATAATGTCTGTGGCATCAATGTGGAAACACAATTATTCTCCCAGGTGATAACAAATGTTGCCTGTTTTGGTCAGATATAACCATGAATAGGGAACATATGATTAACTCTTTGCATGTGTTTAATAAGTATATCTGAATGAAGTGTATGATGTCATTTTATTCTCTTTATCAGTGAGAGCCCAAGCTTTAGGAGGTGTGATTTTTTATTACTTAAAGGGTAATTTGTAATGTGGACTGAAGAAAACCCATGGGTGGTATATACCAATACAGAATAAGGCATTGGTCACAACAGGAAGGGTGTTACAAATGAATACTTATTCATAGGGAAATGTTGGTGAATAAAATATATGCTCCTGTTGTGAAATCAAAGTTAAAGGAAATGGAAATAATATAAATACTGTCAAAGTGTGGCTACCAAGTTCCATGATTTTATTTTGATCTCTGTGAATTCAAGATTCCTTTTTTTTTTTTTGCAGTGTTGAGGTGTTCTAGTTATGAATAGAAGGTCACTCTCAGATGAATTTTTCCAATTGGAATGAGATTAAAAGTATTATCTTCATAGCAGTGGTGTTTTTCTGTGTATATCACTTCCATTATTTTAAGTGGCTATCTCACAACATCAAATGATGCTATCCATGTCTTGGATACACTGGACATGTACATATAGGATTTGAATATCATGATTTTTAATGTGGTACAAATCACTAAAGTATCAAAAGCTTGGCTTTTTCCCAAGATTTATTGGAGAAAAAAATGTATCCAGTCATTGAATAAATAAGAGGAATATGATTGTATAATTCTGCACAGCTGCATTGATGATTGGATGCTAAAATCCAGCCTGCGTGTTGCTTGCTAAGAATAGAGATCCTCATCTAAGCTGCGACTCACCAAAGTTAAGGAGGCCTTTTACTTTAAATAATGGCACCATCAGGACAACACTCTCTTGGAGACAGTGCCACTTTCTAATTTCCACAAAGACACTATATAGGTTTCATTGAAGTCCTGGCAATGGAAGCTGAAGGAACATTTTCCAAAGATGAATGCCATTGAAGAGTAGAATACTGTTTCCAGAGTTGAGTTTTTTACCTTCTGCCTTTGAGTGTGATATGCTCATCAAGCAGCTTAGCATAGTATTGGTGTTGGACAGTAGATTTTAATAGAAAAAAATCTCTATAATTGCTAGCTTCATGGTGGGCCTGACAATCTGTAACAATCAAAGTGAGCACCCATTTCGTTAACCTATATTATGAGTTAGGATTTTCTCAGTGGAAATAAGAAGAGACATGTACTGAATATATAAAGTGATAGAGAGTTCAGTAGGTCCGTCATCTAGGTAGCTGTAGGTACCTTGACAGAGATTATAACTATCATTTATCTCACTGATATGAAGCTATAGTTATTCTCATTACTACCACTAATATAGTGTCCCAAATACTGTGTTGAATTACAAAAGTTGATGGTCTGTGTGGTTTCTTAATGCAGGTTTAGTGGCATATAGGGAATACAATTGGGAGAAAAGAGCTATGGAGTGAAAAAAATGGCATGGGTCAGAAACCCAATATTGAAGAAACCAAATGGTTAAATAGGCAAAGGTAGAGGTTCCTGCAAATGAGCTTGAAATAGGCAAAGAGGTAGCAGCGACACTTTATGACATCATGAACAAGGAAGAGAGAGCCTTTGAGGAAGGGCGTGTTTCACAGTGTCAGATGAAATTGAGAGGTTGCTGACGATGATAATGAAGAGCTGGGGAGGGTCATGTGGGCCTTGGTTTGATGAGCTAAACGAATGAAAGAGAGTGGTGACAGTGAGGGTAGAAAACTCAACAGTTGTAAGTGGTAGAAGGAACAGATAAAAGAACCCATGGCAGTTCCAGTTTGGGAGAGCCCCCTAAAAGCTGACTGTACAAGTGAGTGTGTTTTGATACTGCTGCAAAAGAACTGGTCAACAGGGAGAAGTTAAATACCATATGATCTCACCTATAAGCGGAACCTAACCAACAATACAAAGATGCAAGGAAAATAAGACCAGCAACACTGAAAGGAAAAGAAATCAACAGAGACAAGAGGGAAGGAGGGAGGGGGGGCGGGGAGAAGGAAGGGAAGGGGAAAGTCAAGGAACATATAGCAAGGACTCATGGACAAAACCAAAGGGGAAGAGTTGACGGAGGGAGGGAGGGGGCAAGGGAAAGTGGTGGGGGGTAGGCAGAGACAAATGTATCCGAAAAAATAATTAATAAAACCCGAAAATAAATAAATAAATAAATAAATAAATAAAATGTTAGATTTTATCATAAAATAGTAAAAAAAAAAAAAAAATCCAAAAGCTAAAAGCGCTACTGCTGCAGGACTGTTTCCAGGAAGATGAGGAGGCCTGGTGCCTCGTATAAGAGAAAGGAAAAGGGATTGCTCGGTCATTGCAGGTGCAGAGAAAGAAGAGTGAATGCAGATGCGAGGGCTTTTGGACACATGGTAGGACATGCAATGTGCTCATTAAGATGTCATCCGTTTTCTCTTTGAAGTTGAGATAAGGGATCTTCTCAGAAAAGCTAGCGTTATAGGCTGAGAAGGAGGGAGGTTTGATAAAGAAGATGGGGAAGCCAGGAGCCAGGGGTAATGGGAGTGAGAAGACAAGGGAAACAGTGAATTCTGGGCCTGCAGACTTTATCTTTAAATTAGAAACAGGTACATCTCAGGTTTCCTGAAGCATCCGGCACTGATCCCCATGGATGATGTGTGCAGTGCTTTAGGACTCTGATAGGGGTTTTTGTTGTTTTTGGCTTTTAAAATTAAAAAAAAAAATTCTTTATTGTCTTCAATTACAGTTTACATTTAATATTGTTTTGTATTAGTTTCAGATGTACAGCATAGTGGCTAGACATTCCTATACTTTACAAGGTGTTCCCCTTGCTGTGTCCAGTACCTCTCCAGCACCGCACGCAGTTACTGCAATGTTATTGACTGCACTTCCTATGCTGTACTCTGCATCTCATGACTGTTGTGTAACTACCTACTTGTTCTTCTCAATCCCTTCACCGTTTTTTACACAGTCCCCCAAAGCCCCTCCCCTCTGGCAGCCATCAGTCTTGTCTCTGTACCTATGAGTCTCTTTCTGTTTTGTTTGATTGATTATATTGTTCTTTAGATTCCACATGTAAGTGAAATCATATCGTATTTTGTCTTTCTCTGACTGACTTATTTCACTGAGCCTAATACCCTCCTGGTCCATCTGTGCTGTTGCAAATGGTAAGATTTTATTTTATTTTATTTTTTTCCTATGGCTGAGAAATGGTTCACTGTATTTATTTACCACAGCTTTTTCATCCACTTGTCTATTTATGGGCATTCAGATTGACTGTGTCTTCCACTACCAGAAAACTCCCCTGTTGCTTTAGTCTCCTCCTAGAGCTTTCTCTCCACCTCCTGTCCTAACTGAAGCTTATACCTTCACCCCAAAATCAGTTCCCTTGTGGTCCTCTTTAATAGGGGCTGTTGATGAACATGCTTGAATGTTTCTTATCAATTTTGCTTTCTCTCTTCCTTTTTCTTATCCCCCCTTTTTTGTAATTCCTACCCTGTGGAATTAAATTGTATTCTATTTACAACAAATTTGTGATCTTGATAATATTTAGACATAAATGACTGCAATAAGATTTGTTATGGTGATAAATATTTACGGTTTGTTTGAGCAATGTGTATTACTTATATCCTTCCACTTAATCTGATCAATGGAAATGTAAGTTTCTAAAAATGAAATCTAGTCTGACTTTTGCTGATTACTACTTAAATTACTTGTGCTTTTTATGCCAATTGGAAAAAATAGGTTAAAATATCATATAAGTTTAAAAATCTGTCATTGAAAAACAAATGCAATAGCAAAATTCATGTGGAACTGGAAGTGCATATGATAGTGATTGGATAACACTCAATGCATGTGATATTGTGATTTATAGTAAGAAATATACATTTGGTCTTTATTCCCATTTCTGGCACAGAGCTTCTAACACCCTTTGGAGTTTCTACATGATGAGAATGATAAAGGTGTCTTTTGTTATATTAAGTAGGTAGCTTTTGGAGAGCATATAACTATGGGGGCTGATTATCCCAAGAACCAATCCTGTGATTAGAGGGTTAGAATTTTGTTTTACCCCCGTGACATGGAATAGGAGAGGGCCTGAAGGGGGAACCAATTGCTAATTGCCAATGATTTCATGACTCATGAGTATTTAATAAAGCCTCCATAAAAACCCAGAAGGGACAGGGTTCTTAGAGGTTGGTGAAGATGTGGAGATCTGGGGAGACTGGTGGCTTGGAAAGGACATGGAAGTGCCATGCCCTTTCTTCACGCCTCTCTTCCATCTGGCTGTTCCTGAGTTACATTGTTTTATAATAAACTGATGATCAAGAAAGTAAAATGTTTCCCTAAGATCTGTGAGCCACTCTGGCAAATGAATGGAACCGAACCAGGGGTCATAGAAACCTCTGATTTATGGCTAGTTGGTCAAAAGTATGGGTTAACAACCTGGACTTGCGACTGGTGTCTTAATTTAGTTGCCAAGGAGGGGGTCGTTGGAACCTCCAGTGTACAGTTAGTGGGTTAGAAGCATAGATAACAGCCTAGGCTTCTGATTGGCATCTGAAGTAGTTGGGGGTGCATAGTCTTGTAGGACTGAACCCTCAGTCTGTAAAATCTGGTGCTATCACTGGGAAGATAGTGTCAGAATGAGTTGAATTGTTGAAGGCTGTGCTGATGTTCAAGAATTGACTGGCTGTGTAGGGATGAGGGGTCCCTCCCCATCCCCCAACCACACACACTGGAAATTGGTGACCAGAATCCTTATGTAATAAGCTGCTTCTTGTAAATAACATAGTGTGGTACCTTATAGACTAGATGCTATAGAAGCGAAAAGTTGGTAATTTTAAATGGGCGTTAGAGGTCATCTTATCTGTTCTTTCATTCTTGAATGGATATAATTAAGCAGAAAATACTGATGCCTTCGTTTGTCTAACATATTTTTTTTAATTTAGTTTTCAAATTTTTATTTTGCCATTCAGGTCTAGTAATTGTTATTTTTCTCTCTTTTATTCAATTTTAGGTTCTGATACTATCTCAGGTTGTACCACATACTGGTAAAGATTTGCCCTCTGGATATTTGTATAATTCAGCAAAAGTCAATCCTTGTTTTGAATATAGCAATATATATTCTGATCCTGAAAGAATTCTGCTTAGTTGGATGAACACACATTATGAGAATACCCGACATGTTATATGGGAAAACTGCCGCCATGGTAAGAAAAATTTTTTCTTTAGACAAATCATCACAGGTTGTAGTATGACAGTGTAGAAGGAGCTGTGGGTTGGACTGAGAATTCATGGATTTTAGACTTGACTGCAACATTTATGCTCTTTTGCAAAAAAAACAAAAAGTATTCCTTAATATCTTCAAGATCAGTATTTTTACATGTAAAATAGAAATAATAAAAGATGCTTCTCCAATTGATTTTGAAGAATAATTGATAAAAATTATTTATAGATGCTCCAGAAGTGAAAGATAACCTTAATATAACTGATGGCATTTTCAGCTCTGTAAGGTATTAACTTTAGGCGACACTGCTCAGGGCTTGTATGTAATTACCTGAGATCAAGTGAAAAATTGACTAGACAACATCTTACATTTTGTCATTACAGTCATGTTGGAAATCACTAAGTGCAATAATGCTTCATGGGTAGGTCCTATTAGGTTCATACAGGGTGGGGCAAAAGTAGGTTTATAGTTGTGAGTATGTGAGAAACACAAAGTTTATTCTTATATTATCATTTATTAAATATTGTGTTATTTTCCATATGAACAACTATCAAGCTACTTTTATGCCACCCTGTATACTGAGAGAAGAGTGTGTTCATGGACCTGCTTCAGTGTACAGGCAGGCACTTGTTGGTTCTGCCTTTTAGGAGGAATAAGGCTGTATACGTGTCTACCCCAAGAGCATTAAACTCTTTGAAAAAGATCCAATTTGCTAGTGTAACTGTATTTTTGTATTCATCATAAGCATTGATTATCATGAAGAGGACAGTATTCATGTTGGTTGTTTCTTTGACTTCAATTCAGCTCCCCTTTTCCAAGTACATACCATCCTGGTATGTTGGGAATGGGTTGTGTTTTATCATATACGAATTAAGTTTATTTTTTATACTGAACCCTTGGAGTATATACTAAACTTTAGAAGTAAGGGAAGATTAAAAGTATGATTTAAAATGAGAGTTTAATTTACAGTTACTCTTAACTTAAAGCCATTAGTGAAGCAAACAGTGACATCAAATGGCTTGAAATAGATATATTGGTATTAGAGAACAGTAAATACAGAATATTTTATTACCTTCTAATTAAGGTGCTAATAATATCAAACAGTTTGACTTGAAACTGTAATTTAACAAGATTCATATCTTATAAAAATGTATTTGACCCATTAAAAACTACAAAAAACAGGGTGCATTCATATACTTATGGACACTCGGGCTGCTTCCAAGTCTCGGGTATTGTAAATATTGCTGTAATGAACACAGGGATGCGTATATTCTTTCAAATCAGTGTTGTGTGATAAATTCCCAGAAGTGGAATTGCTGGGTCATCGGGCAGTTCAATTTTTAAGTTTTTGAGGTAACTTCTTACTTTTTTCCACAGTGGCTACACCAGTCTGCATTCCCCCCATAGTGCACTAGGGTTTCATTGTCTCCACATCCTCGTCAGCACTTGTTGTTTGTAGATGTATTGGTGATAGTCATTCTGACAGGTGTGAGGTGATATATTATTGTGGTTTTAATTTTCATTTCTCCGATGATTTGTGACGTTGAGTAACTTTTCATATGTCTGTTAACCATCTGTATATCTTCTTTAGAGAAGTGTTTATTCACGTCCTCTGCCCATTTTTTAAATTGGATTGTTCGGGTTTTTTTTTTAATGTTGAGCTGTATGAGTTCCTTATATGTTTCTCATATTATCCTGTTATTGAGTATATCATTTGTGAATATTTTCTCTCATTGAGTAGGCTAGGTTTTTTCTTTTGTTGATGGTGTCCTTCTCTGCGCAGAAGCTTGTTAGTTTTATGTAGTTTCATTTGTTTATTTTTCAAGGAGACATATTGGAGAAGATATTGCCAAGGCTGATGTCAAAGAGTTTACTAACTGTGTTTTCATCTAGTTTTATGCTTTCAGTTGTTACATTTGTCTTTAATTCATTTTTAGTTCGTTCTTGTCCATGGTATAAGAAAGTAGTCCAGTTTGGTTTTTTTTTTAATGTATCTGTCCAGTTTTCCTAGCACCACTGATTGTAGAGACTATCATTTCTCCACTTTTTGTTTTTGCCTACTTTCTCATATATTAATTAACCGCATAAGCAACGGTTTATTTCTGGACTCTCTATTCTGTTCCATTGATTTATCTGTCTGTTTTTGTGCCAAAATCATACTGTTAGATTATTGTAGCCTCATAGTATGGTTTGAAATCAGGCAGCATGATACCTCCATCTTTGTTCTTTCTTCTCAAGATTGCTTTGTCTTTCTGTGGTCTTTTGTGGTTCCATATAAATTTTAGGATTTTTTTTTCTAGTTCTGAGAAGAATACTATTGGTATTTTGATAGAGAATGCATGGAATCGTGTATAGCTTTGAGTAGTAAGGACACTTAAAACAATATTAGCCCTTCTAATTCATGAACATGGTATATCCTTAGATTTATTTGTATTATGTTCATTTTCTTTCTTCAGTGTCTTATAACTTTCAGACTATGGGTCTTTCACCTTCTTGGTTAAATTTATTCCTAGGTATTTTGTTCTCTTTGATGCAGTTGTAAATGGGATTGTTTTCTTAATTTCTCATTTTGATCATTTATTATTAGTGCATAGAAATGCAACAGACTTTTGTTTATTAATTTCATAACCTGCCACTTTACTGAATTTGTTTATTCTAGTAGCTTTTTGGTAGAATCTTTAGGGTTTTTTTATATATATATATATATATATATATATATATATATATATATATATATATATATATATGTGCAAATAGTGATAGTTTTACTTGTTGCTTTCTTATTTGGATGCCTTGTATTTCTTTTCTTACCTAATTACTGTAACTAGGACTTTCAATGATTTGTTTAATAAAAATGGTGAAATTGGACATCCTTGTCTTATACCTGATTTTAGAGGACAAGCATTCAGCCTTTCACCATTGAATATATTAGCCTTTTGCTGTTTTTTAAACTGCTGAGACCCATGACTTTACAAAACTTTTGTACTTTCTATTCTTTCTGCTTTGAGCATTATTTTCTTTGATATCTTAATGATTTCCTTCTCTACTTCACTCAAGTCCTGCTCAAATATCACCTCATTTGAGAGGCTTTCCCAATAACCACTTTAAAATAGCATAACCTTCAGTCCTTCTCTTTCTTGCTCAACTTTTTGCAGTAGAACTTTCCTAAAAATAATGTGTATAGTCTTTCTCCTCCAGTAGAACGTGAGCATCTTAACAGGAACAATCTTATCTTTTTTGTTTTTCACTACTGTGTTCCCAGAGCCTAGAACAGTGCCTGGAAAATAATAGATACCAAATATTGTTTGAGTAAATAAATGAATGAATAAATGCATTTTTCTACCCTATTGTAGATAATTGAATATATTTTAGTTTACTAATTTGTACCTTCTGGTACAAATGCGGTGTTCAGGTTGAATGGTTAAGGTGGAAGGAGGTACTTTTCATCTGCAGTATGTACCTGGGTACAGGTTTTCATGGTTAGTAACTGTGGAAGTATGTGAGTAGAAGCTCTGTGAAGTATTTCACTTAGGTTAACTTGGACTGAGAAAATGTCATAATCAGTGCCCCAGATTTGAACCTTCTCAACATTGGCATTTACTTTACTTACCCCCACTTCGCGGGAAAGGTCTGATTATGCTTACAATTTATTGCAGTGATGTTGTGGCAAATAGATGGATAGGATTGTATCCCAAACCTTTTAATTGAGAAGCTCTAAGGGTAAGACCCAGCAATCTGTATTTTATATGATTCTAGTGCATACTAATATATGAAACAGACAATAGTATCACAAAAGGGGTTTCATTTTTGCTTTTAAATTGTTCACAGAATATTTGTTCACCAGTTACGTTTCCAAAAAGTTTCTCTTTTAAACAATAATTCCTTTGAACTAATAATTGCTGAGAATTTCCCCCAATTAATGTCAGACATGAAACCACAGATCCAGGAAGCTCAGAGACTACCAAAGCAGGAAAAATGTTAAAAACAAAACAAACAAAAAAAAAAACCCCCAAAACCCCCCTATACCTAGGCATATTGTATTCAAACTGCAGAAAGTCTAAGATAAAGAAATCTTAAAAAACACCCACCTTACCTATAGAGGAGCAAAAATAATAATTATATCTAACTTCTCAGCAAACATACAATCTGGAAGAGAGTGGAGTGAAAATGTTTAAAGTGTTGAGAGAAATAAAAACACCTTGGATTCTGTAGCCTGCGAAGTTATCTTAGTGAAGACAACATTACAGAGAATAAACAAACAGAGGGCCTTGCTTACACATTTTCTGGATAAACTGATGAGTTGGCAGATTTCAACGTCATCCCTATGGACAGCCTGTCATGGTCACCCTGATGGGGCAACAAATAAATAATTTTTTAATTGGTGATGGATTTCCCAGAAACTCTGGAGAGTTTAGCAGTGGAGTCAGCAGGACAGGTTGTTTCCACATCACATATCTCCTGTGGTCTTTTTATCAGCACCTCCACCCCAGTTAGGGCAGGTCTGATACATTCCTATCTTTAGAATTTCTTTGCAATGGTGGAGCTCAGAAGGATGTGACAAGTGAGCAGGGCTTTGCTCTTGATAGAGGAAAACATGGAGAGTATCAAGTAGTAAAACTAGAATCAGTTGGCTCTGAGGTCCAGCCATCCAGGACTTTGAATGTTAGGACGGTGTTTTAGAACATTATTCTGTTGCCGTTGGAGAATCCTAGGAGATGGCTCAGCTGGTGACCGCTATGATAAAATGGGCATTTGGTCTGTCAGCAGTAAGTCAGTGGGTTCAAGTGCAGCGAGGTCACATGCTTTCGATCAGCACACCTGAATTTAGCCCTCAGAGCAAACTGATATATTGATATTTTAACACTGGACTGTCTATGAATTTGCCCAAGTCTGTGTGGGGCTAGGCAGTCAAAGTTTGATAAAGTTACATTTCCTAACTAGAGGTGTTGCTGGGACTCAGTTAAAAAAAAAAAAGAGATAACT